TGTGGCACAGAATGAAAATCCATGTCACATCCTATAATTGACCTGGTCACCTGGATATGGGATGAGTGAGGAGAGACTGAAGGTCACGGAGAGTAAAAGAAAAATGAAGAGGAATGAGAAAAAGATGAGCTAACAAAAGAAGACAACTGAGGGCAAATTTCGTTCAGCAAATAATATAGTTGATATATTTATTTATGATCCATTTTATGCTCATTCACTAGAGGATACAAACAAATACGCTGTGAGTTCTAGAAGGTAAATATGACATCCAATACCAGGCAACCGTGTAAGTTTTATCAGAAGACGAAATACGATCGCATAAGGTATAGTTCACTTACAGAAACAGAAAGCACTACTTGAAACAGAAAAGGAACTAGCTGCTTGCAAATATTGTTGGGGGTGGGGACTAGAGGAGCTGGCAGTAGTCTCTGCCACCAAAGTGGCCTCCTAGAAAACATCCAGAATGGGTTTGTGGAGGGAGCTGCTACTACTGTCTCCATCAGGAGGCTGGGAAATCAGGATGCCACCACAGAATCTGTTGGTCGCAGAGCCTTAGTGCTTATTGGATTCAAAAACAGCTTCCTCATACACTGCTGTTAAGGATTAAATTGTGTCCCCCAAAAAAGATACGTTGAAGTCCTAACCCCTGTACCTGTAAATGTGACCTCGTATGGGGAAATTGGGTCTTTCTCTGAAGACATTATCATTTAAGACATACTGGAGTGGAGCGGGTCCCACTCCTAATTCCCCAGGTGGTATCTGATAAAAGAGGTTACCCACGTGAACCGTAACCATGTATCAGCTGACTTAGCTCTGACACGGAGACAGAAACACACACATGAGAGAAGGCAGACACCATGTGAGGATCGGGCCACAAGCCAGGGAACGCCGAAAAAACACCCGGGTCTACCAGAAAGGATATTCCCCTCGAGATGACTGAGAGAGAGAATAGCTTTGACGACGCCCTGAATTCAGGCTTCTGGCCTCCAGAGCTGTGCAGAAATAAATTTATGTTCTTTAAACCCACGCATTTTGTGGTATTTTGTTATAGCCACCCTAGCAAACTAAGGGAACTTGCCGTCTCTCTCTCCCCACTCATCTCAGTCATGAATTTACTCACAGACTCAGAAGCCCCATTTTGGGTCATGGCTGCAGAGAATCCCTTTTCTCTAGCTCTCTATGCAGCATCATGCCCCTAGAGTCCCTGACAATAGGAGTAGAGGCTGACCTCGGACATAACCAAGAGCCCATGGTTGGTGTGGACATAACGATATCACAGTAACACTGGTAACGACCAGACGAGGCATAAAAAAGGCTTGGACAGAGAATGGCTGGGCAGACACACACCCACCCTGTGTTCCAGTCGACCATGATAGGCTAGTCAGACACGGGCGGCCTGGCAGTAGGCCAGCTTCCTCAGAGCTTCCTTGACCTCCTGGTTCCTCAGGCAATAAATGAAAGGGTTGAGTGCAGGGGTGACGATGGCATAGAAGATGGAAATGACTTTGTTCATGTTGAAGGCATGGATGGCTCGGGGCCGGGCGTACATGAAGATTGTGGCTGAGTAGAAGATGGTGACCACCACAAGGTGGGAAGCACATGTGGAGAAGGCCTTCTGCTTCCCCGTGGGCATACGTAGAACGGTGGCCAGAATGCACCCATAGGACAGGACAGTGATTGTGAGTGGGAACAGGAAGATGACCAGAGCCAGGACGAAGTCCACCAGCTCAGCTGTGGACATGTCTGTGCAGGAGAGGTTGAGCACAGGAGAGAGGTCACAGAAGAAGTGATTTATGACGTTAGGGCCGCAGAAGCTGAGGCGGGAGATGAAGTAGGTCTTTGCCAGGGAGATGCCAAAGCCAATGGCCCAGGACCCGAGAGCCAGGTGGGTGCAGAGCCTGTGGCTCATCATGGTGGGGTAGTGGAGTGGGTGGCAGATGGCCACGTAGCGGTCATAGGCCATGGCAGCCAGGAGCACACACTCGGTGCACATGAGTGCAATGAAGAAGTAGAGCTGGATCACACAGTGGGTGAAGGGGATGCTGTTGCTCACAGACCAAAAGCTTACCAGCATCTTGGGCACGGTCACAGAGATGTACCAGGTCTCCAGGAAGGACAGGTTGGCCAGGAAGAAGTACATGGGCTTGTGCAGTGGCCGGTTCTGCTGCACCAGCAGGATAATGACCATGTTTTCAGCCACGGTCAGGACATAGGCCACGAAAAACATCAGGAACACTGCTGCACGCACACCACAGGTCCCAGAGAAGCCCACCAGAATGAACTTAGTGACCCGGGTCTGGTTCTCCACCTCCATGCTAGAGACACAGGGCTTAGGTCTCCTGGGGGGAAACAATTGCTTGATCAGCTTCCGTGGTCCAGTTAGAATCACCTCTTCTCTACCTTTTCTGACCAGAAATAGCAGTAAAAGATATCAAGTATTAATCATGTATTATAGGCTAGAATATGCACGAGGTACATTAGATACATAATTTAATTCCCACATAGCTTATATATATATATGCATATATATGTATTTTACATACAAAAACTTGTTGTCATCAAGTCAATTCCGACTCATAGCGACCCTATAGGACAGAGTAGAACTGCCCCATAGGGTTTCCAAGGAGCACCTGGTGGATTCAAACTGCTGAGCTTTTATGACATAAATATACATACACACACATTTATGTTATTACTCATCTTAGTGATGAAGACATTTCTCAGGTTCACACTGGCAGCAGGTCAGGGATCACATTCAAGTCTAAGTCCAAAGCCCATGCTCTATCCATATCCTACACTGCCTTCACCAACACAGTACCAAACCTCCCTGTTCTGTGTTCTGATTACCAGTTCCAAAGGATTCACCTGTCCTTCCTGTCCCACCATCAGGAGTCCTTCCTCACACCTGTTTCACCTTCACATACTATTAGTTCTTTTTTCTCTAACATCATGGAAAACAGAAAAGAGCTGCATCATCTGTGAGGTCTCCTCTGAGGGTGAGATGGGAGAGCTGGGTTTTGTTCAAGTCCTGGCTCTGCCTTGAAACTCACTTTCTCTGAGACTTGATTTCCTCTTCCACACATGAGAATACTCCATCTGTCCAGCCTGTGTCATTGCAGAGCAAAACCCAAATAAGATTGTGTAAATGAAGTTGTATGTAAACTGTAGAAGACACGAGGTGTGAAGGTGTGCATTGACTAATAGCGGAGAGGCCAACATGGCCGCTGAAAGGAGCGATCAGTCCTGGGGCTGGTGTGGGAGGAGATTTAAAAATAAGCAAACAAATAAATTCATCTAAGATTTCAGGCACTATCCATGAAGGCTTAAATGGAGAACACAGTGTGAGTGTGATCAGGGAAGTTCTCTGCCTTCTGGGGGTGGCTCGTGGTCAGAGGAGGATCGGGGCTCCAGCCCTGCTTAGAGGTGTGCTGAGAGGAGACTGTGTAGACTGATGGACTGGGTGGGGAGTGCAGGGGACAAGGGGGGACTGGTGGGCAGGGCCGTAAGAAGGATCTGAAGATGGTCCGAATGCAGTGGGAAGCAAGCAGAGAACTTAAGCTGGGTGGGGCATGGCATGACTTGTGTTATAGAAGGATGCCTGAGTGCCCACAGGAAGCAGCAGTGGAAGCTGTGAGGCAAGTTAGAGGTGACTGCAGAGGAAAGTGACAGGGACCTTGAATACTGGGGTGTCGCAGAAATGGATGGATTTAAGGTACATTTGTAGGAGTGATCATTAGTAGTGACTGATGGATTGAATATGGGAGGTGAAAGAGGGAGACAGCAAGGAAGAGCCTCAGAGATGTGGCTTATTACATGTCAGGTGATGTCATTGACTAGATGGGAACCTTGGAGAGTTAACAAGCATTTTCCTCCCTTAAGGAGATAGCAATGAGCAAGAAGTGGTAGGGTTGTATTTGGATTCATTTTAACATGAAGTCTAAGCAATCAGTCCAGAATACTCTGGAATAATCATTTACTGAGCAATTTACTAGGTGCCAGGAAGCGTGATGAGGACTTTTCATACATTTCCACTTTATCCACACAGCTGTGCCAATGCGCTATTGTTATTCTAATTTTGCAGAAGGCACTGGGGCTTAGACAGATGAAGTAACATTTTCAAGCTACAGAGTGATGAACCCAGAATTAGAGTGAGTCTCAGAGGAGGTCTGTCTGACTGTGAAGGCGCCTCCTTAACCACTGGGTCACGCACACACAGAGGAAGAATACCAGATTTTGAACTCACCAGCACTTTTTCACACTTAAAATTTCTGACTATTTTAGGAAATGTTCTGTAATCCTGCTGAAGTTCATCATAGGCATGATGTATTAGAGACGAAGGAGTCCTGGTGGTGCAGCCACTCAGCTGCTAATCAAAAGGTCAGCTGTTCCAAGCCACCCAGTGGCTCTGCAGGAGAAAGACCTGGCAAACTGCTCCCATAAAGATTATAGCCTGGAAAATACCTACGACGCAGTTCTACTCTGTCACATGAGGTTGTTATAAGTTGAAAATCAACTCAGTGGCACAGAACCACATTAGAGATGAGCTCAAGCTTCAAAAAATCAATATGACAGAGATACCCAGTCAGACACACAAGGGCATACACACCCAACAGAAACGAACACACAGAAATGCTTAGTAAAGGTATCAGAGAAGAGGTCATCATTGAAACATCAGCAAGTGAGAGGAAGAGGCATTTTTGGCAGAGGAATCCGAGTGAAAAAAGGTTTTGAGGTATGAAACAGACTGGCATTTTCAGAGAAGCAATTTATCACAGCCAGGTTGCTATGTGGGTAGGCAGATTAGGAGTGAATGGTTGAGTACAACAGGGATAATGGGAGATACTGCAATAGTAAGGAGTTTGAGCATCATCCTGCAGGACAGACAAGTGATTCCTGAGGGCCTCCAGCTGGGTGATTGCATCCTCATACTCCACGATGACTTTGGTGAGGAGAAGGGTAGATTTGGGTGGGACAGGGTGGCCAACACAGAGACTGAGAGACCAGGTGACAGTGGACATATTGAGCATTAAAGACATACACAATCAAAGAAGAGAAAAATCACATCTGCTACAGTGTTTGTTAGAGAAACTGAGGTGAACACATTTAGACATTCCTGCTCACAAGTTAGGCTGTAACTTTGTACAAAGTAGTGTGTTACGTAGTAAAATTCCTACAGAAAGCTCTACCAAAAGAGACTTCTCTATTTCTCAGCAACTAAGTGAACTGTATGGGCACTAAGTATTGGTGGCAATTGGAGGGATTGATTGCATTTGTGTGATAACTTTACCATAAAATCTGTAGCCCCTTTTTACGCAGGGTAGTCTCTGCTCCCTCACAGCGTCCTCAGACATGCTGTCCTTCAGAACAGATTCCGCCGTTGATCTAGACCAAACGTCCTAGCTGCTTCTCTCCCTTCTCGTGCCTGTAGGGCTTGCCCTTCCCCTTCTTTTGTCTGTACTAATCTGGGTTCCAAATAACTTGAATCTGATGAAAACATAACCTCCATGCCTGCCGACACACGGATGCAGTTTCAGCAGCACCGTCAGGATGAGCTACCAGGTGGGGTCCAGGGGTGTCAGGAGGCAGGGAGAGGAACCCCAGGCAGGGATTAGAATCCGGGGTGCTCATCTCTGATCCTACACACACCAAGAGAGGGCCTTCCACAGCAGTGGGGTGTCCATTCCCTCTGCTTTCTGCACACCTGGTTGCAAATAGCTGTCAGAGGTGAGACCGTTCTCTGACTGGTTGCTGGGAACCGAGGCGAGGAAGGAGGGAGAGGCATAGTGACTGAACTGAACATGCAGGATCAGACACTCTGTGCCCCCAGAGCCCACCACAGTGCTGTCCGCACGCTTAGAAGGCCACTTACCTCCACTCGGCCACCTCCAGCAGGGTGGGATCTTCACTGGATCTAGAATAAGAAGAAGTGGAAAGGAAAGGCTCAGGCAGTGAATGAACGTGAAGAGCCCACTCTCTAAACCCAGCAGGAGTGGACGGCCCCCGATTACCCTGCTGCTTCTGAACAGATGGTCAGCACTAGAGTAGGAGGCAGCCCCGGCACCAGGACCACGTCTGCGCCTGAAGTGGGGCCAGGCTGAGGTCCACTGGGCCCTGGGGCCAGAGAGCCCATGCCTTCTTGGTGGAAGCTGCAGTGGTCTGAGGATCAACAGCTGTGAGCATCTTTGGATTCTGAGGGATTTATATAGTGTCAGGACTTAAGTTGCTGCCAAGTCCCAGGGGAAAGGAACCTTAAGGATAGCAGTTCAGATCTCTTGTGTGAGCCATAAGATACTTCTATTGTCTAGTCTTGCAATCTTATTTTTTATATATATTAGTTCCGCAGGGAGAAAACATCCACTAAGTCCAAGCATTTTGGTGGGGGGTGGGGGCGGGGAATACACTCACACACATTTGAATTTATTCTGTTAAAACATGAAGAAAATTTTTTTTACATGGTCAATTCTCCTACTTTTAAATCTCCAGTGACAAATTTTGAATTGTTATTATTCAATGTTACTTGAAATAGGATGATCATATCAGTGTCCAAGGGAGGAACTGGTCCCCAAGTGGACTGATTATGGCTTTCAGAAAATGAAACTATCCTCTGACTGGTTGCTGGGAACTGAGGGACTGTTTTAGTAAAACTAAAGTTTAAAAAGAAGTTTTCAGTTTAAATGTTTTTGCCGTGATTTTTGTGATAAATAATACTGCTTTGTAATAAGTCCAGGTATCTGATGTAGTGAACTCATCACCATGGGGTCATTGTCACCTGTCAGCTGCCCTTCGGGTTCCACTGGACCAATATTCCACATTCTGGGACAGAGCTCCAGTTTACTAACCATCTCGTGAGTCTCTGTGGTCTGCAGACTCTTTAAGTAGCCCTTACACAAACAGGCTGTCTTAGTCATCTAGTGCTGCTGTAACAGAAATACCACAAGTGGATGGCTTCAACAAAGAGAAATTTATTTCTTCACAGTAAAGTAGGCTAAAAGTCCAAATTCAGGGCGTCAGCTCCAGGGGAAGGCTTTCGCTCTCTGTTGGCCTTCTCATCAATCTTCCCCCGGACTAGGCGCTTCTCTGCGCAGGGACCCCAGGTCCAAAGGATGTGCTCTGCTCCTGGCACTGCTTTCTTGGTGGTAGAGATCCCCCCTCTCTGCTTGCTTACCTTTCTTTTTTTGTCTCTTGAGAGACAAAAGGTGATGCAGGCCACACCCCAGGGAAACTCCTTTTACATTTGCTCAGGGATGTGACCTTAGTAAGGGTATTACAATCCCACCCTAATCCTCTTTAACATAACATTACAATGACAAAATG